CTAGTAGTATAGATGAAACCAAACGTTTCTTTTAGTCAAACCCATTTCAAACAAGGTTATCTTATTATATTATTGTTACCTTATAGACTCAAGAGTACATCCAATACACATTTTGTGTGATTTTGTGGCCACATTTCTCCCCATCTTTTTCCACAACAAACTCCGTTTTCTTTCCCACTTCTATGTAATTAAAGTTTTTCCAAATGTCGCTTCTTCTTTTTCTCCCAATGACAAACCCCGGCTGGCCGGCCATCGATCCCTTTCTCTGTGTCAGACTTAACTTTGTTTGTTGTAGTCTTCTCAATAATTCCGCGAGTGATGGTTAAGGAAGTGATGTCGCCTGCGTCTGCGCAGTGCGATGCGTCTGATGCGGCCCCTGAAGCGAGACACAGGAAACAGAAATACTGCAAAATAATAATAATAACACGACTAAACGAGACGAAATAGTGTTATAACATTTCGTCTTGTTTTTTTATCGTCAACAATATTGCATTATATATTTAATTATAGTCATCGTCACATGACCAGCATTTTCGTTGCATCTCGTCTCGTTTTCGTCACGCGATAAAGGTTCGTAGACAACGTCATTTAGTCATAATTTTCGTTGACGAAAGCAACACTACTTATACCGTTGTTATATTTCTTTCTTCAATTTATGTTTTCTAAAAATAAAAAAGCTATGAAAGGCAGCTGTTAAAGATTGTGTGGAACTGGGTCAAGCTCTATACTGTATGTTTGCTCTGAAAAAATAAAAAAAGAAGAAGTAAACAAAAGAAAAATGAAATATAAGTCAGGTAGCACACAGTCCACTGAAGGGTCTTCCCAAGGAAAATAGCTAAATGAAAAGACAAAGCAAGTGGTCTGCTGGAGGAGGCTAAACACCAACCAAAGGGAATTAAACATATAGTATTTTCCTATGAAATATAACTGAGTAGAACTCTAAAAAGCATTAAATAGAACCTCTCAATAAAGCAGCTTAAAATTGTACTTAAGTACAGGATCTAAATGAATGTTGTGACATCAGCAGTGTCACCTCAACAGTGATTGAATCCATAAACGTTCTGAAGCATGACCAGATACTTAACTCCTAAATTTGCTTACTGAGTTAAAATAAAATGTTACTATGTTTGAGCAACAAGTCAAATTTTCTTCCAACAAACTTGTAGTTCCAAAGCAGTTAAGAAATGTGTCTTTAAGATGTATTCATATTTAGGTCACAGCTTTGGCACTGTGAAAACCACACAGCACACCACTGCATTTAACCAGTACTCTGGATCACGTGTTCCATAATCAGTGTAATTAAAGTTGGGCGAATTCCTATGTGTCAGTCAGTTTATTGAGTGGGTGTGTCTCCTAAGACTGGTGTTCCACTGAATTTTGTCGCTGGCACTTCCTGTCTGTGGCATAGTTTTTCCAGACACACACACTACCCAACAACAGTTTCAATAGATCTGGTGTTGCGCACATTGACAAATGCTTCCCTAGCTGGAAGAACAACAAAACCAATCAGAGTCTTGAAGCATGGCTATGTCACCTGCCAGATACAGAAACATAATAACAAAAATTAGCCACAAAATGCAACAGCTTGGATGACATAGACCAAACAGTACAACATGGAATCAAACTAATAACTTCACCTGGGCTAAAAACAGACTGTCATGGATGTGGTGGCTGTTTCAGTGCTAATAAACCTGCCTAGCTGTATTTTGATTTTTTTCATAAGGGCATTTGAATCGCTCTTAGTCTGACCCGTCACCCAGGACCTGGTTGCCTTGGAAGGACCTACCAGGGGCATATAGCCCCCGACAACATAGCTCCTAGGATCACTCGGGTACTCAAACCCCTCCACCACAATAAGGTGGTGGTTCAAGGAGGGGGCTGTTGAGTTGTACTTGTAATTATACAGAGGCTTGTTGCTGTTTTGTAGCCTAGTCAATGAATTAATTATGCACCCCTGGGGGGGGGCAGACAAGTTAAAGCCCCCCCACAGGACCCTCAGATGTTCTTAGACATTTTTTTGTGTGTGTGTGTTATCTTTATGATTTTGTCTTTCTGTCACCATGTTGTCTTTCTGCGGCCTATGGTCGTTTATCATCATTTTATGGCTGTTTTGTGTTTTTTTAAATTGAGCTCTGTGGCTTTATGTTACTTCACACAGAGGCCCAGTGGTTCTCCTGTTGTCCAGCTGCAGCTTGCCCCTTCAAAGCCCCAAAGTCCAGCCAAATATCGTATCATTCCTCGTGTAGAAAATACATAAAATACATTTGAAGGTGGAACTGGGTTAATTCAATCAATTAATGTAAATAGGCCTAAATATGAATTTACTTCAGTCAGTCAAAATACTGATAACATATTCAAAAGCAACAAAAGTAGGCTGCTCATTTTGCAGAATGGCCATTTCATATGAATGTATATGATTTTATTTAATAAGCCTTATTGATATATGTGTAACGTTACATCACTTTAAAGTTGCAGGAGACGGGACCTTATTTTAACATCCAGACTTTCCTCCACTAGAGTTAGATCAGACCGTACATATATATTTATTTGGTTTTACGTCAGAATAAAGTTTATATAGGCTACAAGGAGTTCATCGCTATGCAGCTCATGTTAGGGTGATTTTTGAACTCTCCTCAAACTCAGTAACCACAATCCGACCGTTTTGAATGGCACACATTCACCAAAGCCCTCTTATTGTGAAGACTCTACCGGAAATAAAACTTTGTCTTCACCTCCCAGCCTCCTCATCGCCTGCGCCCCCCACCTCACAGAGACTCTTCCCCTTGCACATACCAGTAGTTGTCATGGCGATGGAGTCGGCCTCAGCGTCGGCTCCGGGGGTTGTTGCCATGGAGATCCATCGGCGAGGTGCGCTCCCGGTGGTGGAAGAAGACGAGGACTTCAGCGCGCCGGCGCCGGGGTCCGAGGAGCTACAACGGTACCGCCGAGGACGGCGACGCGGGGTGCCATTGAACCGGGGCGGCTACTATATGCTGATAGTGATCGGGGAGATCGGCACGGAGCACCAGCTGGAAGCCGCCAGAGCGCAGATAGAGCGGGGTGAGTGTTGGATGAACCGCGGAGTGAATCTGTCTTTATGGTGGCTGTGAATCAGTGTGCAGCCTGGGATGGAAAGTCGTGGTGAAAGCAAGGAAACAGGAGAGAAATGTTTTGACGCATTGAGCAGGATAGGATACACAAGTAGAGGCAACTGCTGCAGCATTGCACCATGGGACAGCAGGGATTTTACTCTGTTAGTCTTAAACTGCAGGCAAGTTGCAGATGCAGCAGAGGTCTTTTTTACTTTAATAGAGCAATATTTTTTGCAGCCACCCTCTCAACCAGAGTAGCTTACTGTACTTAAAAGCATCAAATCAATAGGCTCCATGAATCACTCATTATTATTTTAAAAGACATTAACACAGCTGATCAATCAGCATGGTTAGATAAATAAATACAAGTTTTTATTTACAGCCTGCAGAGATATGCTTCAGACTGTGTTGAACAAGCAGCTTCTGTTTTTGAGCAGGGTGTGTGTATGTGTGTATTTCTGGATGGGATATCATGTGCCCTCAAACCAGTAAACAAACAAATTGCAGGCTGTACTCAGCAAAAATACCACAACTACAAGTACTACAGAGATGTAGTTTTCAGTTTCCCTAATAAACTGATTTTGCGACATCATTATTCAGCTGAATATCTCAGCACCTCCTCTTGAGGAACTGCAGCAGGCTGCAGTCATCCCTGTCAGTGAGAGCTGTCTGAAGTTTGGGGATGGAAGCAGATTGTTGAGTAGCTGTGAAAGATGTTGCCATGCGCAGATTCAGGAGTGTGCTGGTCAGCAGTTTTGTGCTGTGCTGGTGGCACCCTAAACTGATCTCAGTTTGGATGATCAATTGCACTGTTGGATGCCAGTCAGGTGCCATAGCATGGTGTGACCCCCTCACACCATGGTTATGGAGGTGACAGCTCTGCTGCTGTGTGGCGAGGTCAGTATCATACCCACTTGGATCATTACAGCATCGCTTCTTTCACAGAGGTCGGTGTTTAAAGTGTGACTCAGTGTGAATGACCTGCTATTGACTCTCTGCAACAGTCACCCTCACTGCAGTGTTGTAGTAGAGACCAAACACAAACCTTTTATTTCAGAGTATCTGCAGGTCTTGAAAAGTCTCTAAAAGCACTGAATTCACATCTTTGCATTAGCACTTTTATTAACATTTTACAACTTACCTGCCAGAGGTTTAAAGCAAATTTTCACTGGAAATGTATCTTTTGAGTATCAAACACTTAGCCTGGCTTGAAAAGTGGGGGTAAAAGTTGTAGCATTGTCATTGACGGTAACTGTGGTCAGATGGAATTATAATGCAGCAGTGGAGTCAAAACATCAACAGAACAGTGTGCATCTACGTAATCTTTGGCCAATTTTGACAGCACAATAACAAACCACGACCTCTGCCCCTTGGCGGAGAGTGAAGAAGGATGGAAATGCTTACATGTACAGTATATGCAGCCATCAATGGCTCTTTGCTTTCCTGTAAACCATCAGAAATGTCTGAGCACTTTTCAGCGTATTGACTAATGTCATCCCTCAAGATGTCCATACTCAGGCTCATAAATGTGATGTCCTCCTTTAATTTCACAATTTGACCTCTCTTCTGTGGACAGGTTGTCATTTTTATGTGTCTGGTGATACAGAGAAAGACATTTGCCAGTGAATGCAACAAAACAATATCAGTGACACAGCATTTCTGGGAACAGACTGCAGTCTGCAGTGTAGGAACATTTTCTCCTCAGTTAGCCTGAGGGTGAAACAAGGTCTTCAGTGTATTTTTAATGGAAGAGGAGATTTTAGCACAGGGGGTATGGACTTGAAAATTAGAATAATCTAATTTCTTGCTCTCACTGAACCCACAAGTGGATAAGATGAGAGAGGTGGTTTCGATCCTGCAGGATGAAATCTGACACAAGTTCCCTCTGAAGTTTGACTCACCGTGGCTCAGTAGGATGTGATAAAGCTGCTGACTGTGTGTGTGTGTGTGTGTGTGTGTGTGTGTGTGTTTGAGGGATGCTCATAACACCACATTGTTATTTTGTTGAGAACTTGTGTTGATATTTGGGTTTGTTATTATATATATTTTCTGAAGATGGAATTAAAATGATGTCAAATAGTGCACTGACATTTGTCAGGTGAACAGATTCATGACCTAAATTAAATGATAATGTTGCTTCATATCTGTCAGGGGAGTAGATAAGTAGGTGTTTGCCAACAAGATCACCATATCAATTTAATAAGTCAGTGTTGTGTTCACAGATTGTTTATTCTTCTCCCAAGTGGCAAAAACAGTTGTTGTAGGTTTAAACTTGAGTTTACAGATTATGTGTTTTAAATTTATGCATTGTAAAAGATAAGTGCAAGCTGTTACTGATGACACGATAGTCATTTGTAAAGTCATTTACATGTAAATAAAAGCGAGTTACTAACATTTTATTACCATCTCTTGTTGTAAAATGGTACAGTACCATAAAAAACTAGGATGAAAGTAATAGTCACATGTTGCAGTAAAATTATCTTAATACATTTATTACATTAAATATTTTATTACTTTTTTCTTTTCATTCGACTGTAAATGTGCACCATACTGTTATTTGGCACCTCTAGTACTATTAAATGATATAGCATAAAGTCCAACAATCACAATCCAAAGAGAAATTTTTAAAACCTATGCTGTATATAAAGTGTTTTACTAACTTTTCATAAATTGCAATTCTTCTTGCTTTGCATGTTAAAAAAACATTAAAAGGGCAGCACATACAACTTTCACTTTCTGTTTCAGATGTTGTAATATGTGAAAAATAATAGAAGACCAGGCCTTTGGTGGTTTAGAAGTGTTGTCGAAGTCGCAAACAACAGCAGTGAGTGAATTGTGATGTCAGTGTTATTTCAGGTTAGTAATAGTGATGTTGCTGAACCTGGAAAGGTTTTCTGCTCAGTTACTTTCCCTGAAACAGAGTTTAGAAGCAGAATTAAGGGACAGGTTTGGAGGAAGTCAGCTTGTATAACTTGCACCTCTGGTTCATCAGAAATCGGTCAAAGTAATTTTACTCAGTTTCACTAATGTCTCTCCTTCATTGCTTCATGTTTTTGTTCTCAACCAATCTCTGTCTTCCTTCCTGGCAGGAATTCGATCCTGGGACATCGACCTCAAGTGTTGCGACCTTGATCAGCAGCTGCAGCTCTTTATAACTCGTCACTCTGCCCAGTTCTCCTCCGAAGTTAGAGGTCAGTGTGATGTGATGCTTTATGTACCAGTGGACCAGCAATGATGCTGCATATTTAGGCTTTTTCTGAAAAAAATGTCAATACTCAAGGCTTTATGCAACAAATTTCATCCAAACAATCACTACTAAGATGCACTTAAATTACTTACTTAAATGTACTTCAGTGTTTCCTGTGGATTATGAGGTTTAGCGTGGCGGCAATGTCCCATGAGCGGCAGGTGGGGGGCGGCAGGATGTTTGTGTGTGTCTGTGTTCTCTCTAGTGCTAAGCAGCAGCAGCAGTCAGCAGAAAGTGACACAGCATTTACAGCACAGTTGTTAAATGAAGCTTATACCTTCAGAGGAAACGGGAATTCCTGTGAAACCATAGTTAGTATAAATATTCTTCACCAAGTTTGTTCTCCTGGGTTTTACTTTATATAGTGAGTCACCTTCTTTCATAAACCTGTTTATGTCTGCTGATAAAACAAGATGTTTTGAATGTTTAAAACACTATGATGGGAACATAAGTCTTTTTTTAATGTTTATTTCCTTCGATTTTCCTTTTAGGCTACCTCAAAGAACAATGATGTTTTTAAAAGTTAGTTTGACACTTAATGGATCATGGTTGACTGTCTTCATATTGCTTGAAGAGCGGCTGCATTGATTTTAAAATGGCACAGTGGATTTCACTGTTCTCCCAGTATAAAAAATATTATTTTTCCATAGTGGTCAGACAGGGTATTATGTAAGTGCCATCAGTTTAGTGTCCAGTGACCTTCAGCACTCTCCCTGCCGCTCTGGCTGATGCTGGTGTTTCTTTGGAGGTTAGAAAATATTTCACAAAAACCAACATTTATGGATTCTTCTCACAGCCTGCTATAGCGCACACCAGTCGTATCACATCTTTTTCACTATGGTGATTGTGTCAGTCTGTTTGTCAGAGTGACGTCTGTGCTGACTACGCAGTGCCTTTTCTGACATACCAGACTCTTAGGGGGATATTTACTGTAGCTTAGCTTTGCTAGCTTCATTAACTAGCTTCATGACTGGAAAACTAATTTAGCAAAACCAAGCATGTGCTGCTGTACTCTGAGGAGAGAGAAAACAATAAGACTGTTGTTCATTTAATGACTGTTTCACAAATAAAATAAACTCAAGCTTGTCAGCGAGCTGTAACCTATGGCTGATGCAGGGGCGCTGTTAGACATAAAGCTCTACTGGGGCACAGGCCCCCCATGACTCAAATCACACTTATTTTTCTTGAATGTCCGCTGCATGAATGAAATGTGCTCTTACCAACTGCAGCCAGGTCTTACCTCTTTCGAACTTCAACGTGTGATTTTACCGGGGCACAGCAGATCAGTACTGGAGCATGCGCCCCAGTAAAGGGGACCAAGGATGGAGGCTGGGAGTATTGATTATTACCCTCTTTTTCAGTACAGCACACAAAGCAGATCAATAGCACTTCAATGGTGCGAAATCCAATGGCTGCAGTGTAGAAATAGATAAGGGGGATCACATGGCTTTGGATTGATGGAAAACTTTCCATTGTGGGAAAATGGCTGCAACAGTTTTCGCTCTCCACTTGGTTGATTTTGGAAATGAGGTGATAAGTTGAGGTAGGGCTGATTGGCTTGTTGCTAAAGTCTGGGAAGGCCTGAATAAATAGAGTCTTAAGTCTATTCTTAAAGGTAGAGAGGGCATCTGCCTCCCAAGCTAAGACAGGGAGCATGTGGTAGTCTAACACCTTACTGAGACACTTTATGTTGGGTTTTTCCTTTCAGTTGTCACACACACACACACACACACACACACACGAGCGCGCACATACACCCGTCAACAGCCTACACAAATACCCAGGCAGGGAACAGGCGAGATAGGTTACTGATTAGTGTCAGCCATTTACAATACTGTGAATCACCCTCCCACACTGCACTTACAAAGGTGTGGATGTGTGTCCACTTACTGTGGGTGTGTGTGCGTGTCCATTTATGTAAAAATTGCCTGTGTGAGTGCTGATTTCAGTCTCACCTTATTTCAAAAAGTAATTGAAAGTCCTGTTTCCCAGCTGTGATTTTTTTACAGTAACTATTCAAGGAAACTTTCTGGAACACCACAGGGATATTTCAGTCTTTTATTTTTAATACACTCCAAAAAGCTGTTTTCATTTTATCGCTGTGGAGTATTGTGTATGACAGAAGAAACGGGAAAGAAATTTAACTGAATACATTTTAAGATGAGTCTGAAACATAAAAGGTGGGGAAACCTGAAAGCGTCTGAAAACATTCTGTACTGACTGTAGGTGATTAAACTGGCAACTCAAGTACAAATCCTGTGTTGAAAATGTTAGTATGCAAAGATAAACAGAGAATGAAACAACCATTTGATGCAGATACATGACCCCTGTGACCTTCAATGAGTCATGTGAGCGTTCGCTACTGATGCATAAATGTGTAAGCATCGTTTTACTGTTACTGGGAGTGTTATCTCCATGGCATTCTGTGACGTGATGTGGTAGAAATGAGAGTTGGCCCAGGGGGGTGACATAGAACGATTAATCGTTAACATTCAATGATGGAGCCAATTTGCTCTGGTGCTTGGGGACTGTGCCTCGTGGCTGTTACCTCAGCGCCCTCACCATCCTTCCCTGCATGGGATGACACTTGGGAAACCCTGAAGGTGTCAGGGTTTGCATGCCCTTTAGTGATAAATCATCAGCGGCTTTGTGGAGGATGCTCAGGAGCATGTGCTGAAAATCACAAGGAAGAGTCGTGCTTTGGCCTGGATTGATAGATGTAACTGGACATAGTATTGCTGAAACCGGGGGTTGAGAAATAATGATGAAACCTGAGGAGAAACTGTCTCAGTTGAGATAAAATGCTCAGAAATACCAACACGCTATTTGAATTATTATGGATGTGTGGTCACATGGGTCTGAGTGTTATTTGCTAGAAAGTATTGCGCCATTTGTCTTTCTCACTTCACATTCTTGGCTTAAAGTAATATCTTTAAATGTAAAGTCTGAGCTGTAGATGGCTTTAATTACTTCAACAAACCTCTTCTATCATCTCTGTTCCCAGCATTTTCCTCTCTTACTCCTAGATCATGGCAGTCTTTGGTTCTGAACTTTGAAACAGGTATTAGTTGCTTGTTACATTGGAGCTCTTAGGATCCCATTTGACTAATGCTGAAAGGTATTTAGCAGTTTTAAATAGGGAAGAGAGAGTGAAAGTCTCATACTGTATGAAGGCAACAAGGAATTATCCAGATAGATTAAGCAGTAATGATGTCAGCAATCGTTCTGAGGTCATAACAGCTTTTATCATCACCTTATTGAGGCTGGTGTGTACTGAGTTACCAGAAGTCCAATTCATGACCTTTACCTGCTTCCTCCCAGCTCTCTTCAATCCCCTCAGCTACCAACAACATCCAGTATCTTTAGTGAGGGCTTGCAGACCATCCCTGTCCATTTTCCAGATTTTTTTTTTTTTAAGGGAGGCTGCGCTATCCACTCACCATGTTTATTTTTTTGTACAAACAGAATAGCTGTGAGACAAATATGTGAAGGGGAGAAAATGATCTGACAGGATTTGAGCTCAGGTCCAGCGGTTTCGCTCACTGCTGCAGCGATAAATAAAAAGGTGGATAAGCCAGGAAATGGCCTGAAACAACTATGAAATATATAGAAACAGAGTAATGGTTGTTAAATTTTGATGTGCTTAAGTTTGTCTCAAAAGCCTGGAAAAAGAGGCAAGATGGAGTAATAAATAGATTTCTCCAGTATTATAGCAAACATATTGTCAGGGATTTATGAATTGTCCTGTAGACACTAAATAATAAAAATCTCATGAAATCATTGATTCATATCTGCAGTCTCATTCCCAGGAGCCAAGATTCTGCTGTAGGAAGGAAAATGTTGCATCAAACCTGTGGTCCTGCATCAACAAACAGCAAGACAGTTAGCCCACTGGATGAGTTGTGTACAGGTGGGGTGGGTGGGGGGGGGGCAAAAACAGAAAAACAGATCTAATGTGTGTGTTACACAGACAAAGGAGTTACAAGGTGGAAGAGGACACTTTGAACAAACACTTTTCTGATGACTTTGTCACATTTTTCTCACTGTTCTTTCCTAATTCCATCGCCAGTCACCTCTAGCCTCTGAAATATTTCTTCCTGTGTCAATCTCTGTGTCTGTCCTATATTGGATGGAGACAAGGGAACGTTTTCATCCTGGTAAGCTTTACTTGACTGCCTTGAAAGGACTGACTGAGCACAGTGGCCACAGAAGTTGTGACTGGGAGGGTGGGAGCTCTTTTCCCCAGTGTCAATATACTGTGTCAGCTCTTCATTTCTGCTGCTGATGTTCCAGAGCTCCTGAAATGAGCCTTTTTTTATTTCCTTTTTATTTCTCTCCCACAGTAAAGGGCTTCAGAAAAATTAGTCCTATAAATATTGAAGCTACACTTCTGACTCCTGCGTTTTCCAGATTGCACGAAGTTGCTGTTTTTATTTAGTCCTAGATGGCTTCTTAAAGATACAGTCAGCAATTCTAGAAAAAGAATGTTTACATTGTTTGTTTTGATCACCATGTACACAAATCCACACTATGTTGTGCACAAGCAAGAGCGTGTCAAATCAAATCAAATCAAATTTTATTTGTATAGCGCCAAATCACAACAAGGACACTTTACAAAGTAAGGTCTAGACCTTACTGTTATCAATATTATTACATAGGGAAAACCCAACAAATCCCCCTTGAGCAAGCACTTGGCGACAGTGGGGAGGAAAAACTCCCTTTAACGGAAGAAACCTCCGACAGACCCTGGCTCTTGTAAATCTTATATCAGAGAAAAACCTATTGCCATTTTAGTTTGACTTGTTTGTTAGAGATGTTTTACTGTGTTATGTTGCACAGGTGTTCATGTTTCTGTGTCCAGTCCCTCCACACCTTACAGGGTGTGGTTTTATTCTAAACATTAACCAGGAGATACTTGGTATTTCTGGACTTGCTCTGACCTAA